CTGGGGGAGGAACCAGAGGGAAGGAAATTGTTGCAAAGAATAGAGAGAGGTGGAAAGCCATTATCGCCTACGTTCTGAAAAGATATGGCACATAAAAAGAAAGAAAGTGATGCAATCGGCGTCTTCTAGTTTCCGTCAACAGGGTAGTAAGGAATAAAGAAATGATAAAAGTCAATTAGATAAAAATTATTATACCAATGTGAAGCAAAGGATAGATGAAATTTCATTTTCATTTTGAAGAAAGATCGTAAATAAATATTTTTCAAGTGCCAACACTTTTGGTTTTCAACATTTCGAAGAATTTATGGAAGAAGTATCGAAATATCATCTTTTCATGCATTATTCAAATCTGTCATCACGTATCCAGGTTGGCGATTTATTTATTACATTTCCTCAGAGGAAACTGTCGAGTGAAATGTAATAATATGAGGACGTTGGATTTTGTTAAAGATATTTTGAACCTCATAAGAAAATACATTTATCTCCTTACTCTTGTTTTTCTATCTATCTATCTATCTATCTATCTATCTATCTATCTATCTATCTATCTATCTATCTATCTATCTAAGTCTATTACTTTCTTTCTATCTCAGTCTATTTCTTTCTTTCTTTCTTTCTTTCTTTCTTTCTTTCTTTCTAAGTCTATTACTTTCTTTTCATCTCAGTCTATTTCTATCTATCTATCTATCTATCTATCTATCTATCTATCTATCTATCTAATTAGCTCTATTACTTTCTATATCAGTCTCTTTATATCTGTCTATTTGTTTCTATTCCCCCATCTATCTATCTATCTATCTATCTATCTATCTATCTATCTATCTATCTATCTAATTAGCTCTATTACTTTCTATATCAGTCTATTTATATCTGTCTATTTGTTTCTATTCCCCATCTATCTATCTATCTATCTATCTATCTATCTATCTATCTATCTATCTATCTACTTTTAATACTTACCTATCTACCTATCTATCTAGGATTACGACCATATCGCATCAAAACAACAGATTTCTTATGATCTCTGAAGTTAAGCAACGCCGAGACTGGTGAGTACCTAGATGGGTGACCACCTGGGAATTGATTTACACGTAAAGACTCTTGGGAAATGAGTAGAAAGAAATTTAGAACACGGCGGAAATGAGGGTGATCTAATTTAATGAAGGTGGCATATCTTGACGGAGCTGTAAAAGTCTGAAATGAAGGAGCTAATGAATGGAACTCCTCTTGACTTCAGACATGGGAAAAGCGATAAAGTACCTATAGGCTTACAACTTTGCGTTTGTGTGGAATAAGTTACGCACAAGACCATGCAAGAGATTTTGAACTCTATTAAGGCTGGTAAATCAAGATTGCGCAGCTCCAGTCCAATGAGAGCAGGACTAGAGTTTTTGTTTTGTCTTAGCTAATCATTCACTTGTAAAGATAAAGCATTCTAAGAGTAATCAAATACTTCCTGGGGCAATCGAATGAGCTGACATTTTACCAATGTCTTTAGCAATGTATATATGAGTCCCACTTAAGGACTGGAGCGAACTTGTGGCCCACTAGACATTGACTGCATGGAAAGACGTTGACAGTAAAACTAGATTGATCACATTCATGCAAAAGGCCAAAAGAAGTTGTTATATTAAATAATATTTGGGAGACTTAGATCATTAGATTTTAATCAGTCTTTTGAGTTACGATGCAGAAATCCCTATTACGCCATTTACAACCTTATATATATATATATATATATATATATATATATTTATTAAATTGATTCAAAAATATGATTCAAAAAGAGCCGAAAATCAATATAATCATTTTTAAAAGTTAAAAAGCTCTGTTCCATCTTCAAGCGAAAATTTTTTGAATTTTTTTTCGCTTGAAGATGGAACAGAGCTACTTTTTACTCAATTTAATTTAAATAATAATATTCCTTGTTTTGAAATCTTATGTCGCGTTTTGGAATCATACATTTTAAATAAATAATTATATTTATGTTTTTACTTTGTATCGAGCACTATTTTTAAAAATAATAACTAAAATACTAAGGAACTTTGGATTATTTACCTAACCAGTTCCTTCCTATTTTCTATATATTTTCATATATATATATATATATATATATATATATATATATATTACTAGTAATACTCGGTTGGAAAAAACTTGATAGCACAACTTGTAAGACTGTCAACAACAAATTAGTGCCTGAGGAAAAAACAAAAAACTAGAAACATCCGAACAGGCAAAATAAATCGTCCAGTACCTTAAGTTTTTAACCCCCCGCCACGAAAAAAATACCAAGCGAGCAAACAAGCTAAAAAGTAGAGTGCTCAATGCACTAAGAAGAGCAGGGCTAAATGAAATAAATCCTAAAGAGCCAGGAGAAACCTTCCTAGGTTATACATAAACGGATCTAGACGGTGTAGGCAGAGTAAATCCTGGTTATTGGTATAGTGGCTCTGTTTTTTTTTCTCTATCTTCTTCTGTCACGTGGTTTTATGCTAAT